TTGGATGGGTGAGAGAATACTTCTGGCAATATAATGTGTCACTGGCCACCATATATGAAACCTAATTGTTTACTAATGGACATTTTCCATTTCTTTACATGCCAAATGATGTTCCGGATTATTTGAAACTTTGATAAATATTAATTCAGCATCTTGTGGTTTGTTCTCTGCAAATACTTGAAGTGGTTTTTAAGAATATGATTTTGTTTGTAGCAGCATGTTACCTTATACTTCATGGGAGTCGTTCAGGCTTTCTTCTTACACAAAAAACTAAATGTGTACATCCTTTAGACTCAGGGTCCCGGCTCGCCGCGCTCTTCACCCAGCCACACCATCAACCGGCCAATTCCCACACCAATCCACTCGGATTCTGCCGGCACGACCCCGACTCACACACCTCAGGACTCACTCATGGGCGTGGGGGGGGACGTTCAGGAGGCCTTTGCTCAGGGTAACACAGCGACACCACAGCGGTCTGAGTCCTTGTTATTGGAAGCTGCACAGGATCCCACTTCAAACTGTTTTTGTTTGTTTGTTTGACCCCTAAAGGTCCAAGGAGAAATCTGAGAAATGACCTGCTCATTGCTGCTGACTCCATCACTAATACAATGTCATCACTGGTTAAGGAGCTCAATTCAGGTAAAGATGAATGGAGGGAAAACAGTAGTCACATTCAGACTTATTATACATGAACTGTTTTTATTATCTTTTCTTTCTTTTCTTTTTTTTTTTTAATAAACAGAGGGTGGAAGTGAAACGGAGAGCACTGTGGATTCAGATTTTGGACGTGAACTACTGGCCACAAACTCCTCAGAACCTTTCTACGCTTACAAACCAAGGTACCTTTAAGATACTCCAAAAGCAGCCATATTATTAATAAAAGTACACACAAAGTCTTTTTTGTCAAGCCATACCATGAAGATATGAGAAAGAGATGTTGACGCTAGGTTAATAAGAGAGGTGACGAGCACTGAGCAGAAGTCATGCTGAGAAAGAGCACCACAGATGTGAGGTTTGTTTTGAGAGTGTCGATGGAGAAGTATCGAGAAGGTCAGAAGAAGCTTCACTGCGTTTTTGTGGATCTAGAGAACACATATGATAGGGTGGTGAGAGAGGAACTGTGGTACTGCGTGAGGAATTCACGAGTGAAAGTATGTAAAGGTGGTGCAGGACATGCAGGGCAGTGAGAAAGAGGCGGGATGTGCACCTGGAGTGACAGATGGGTTCAGGGTGAGGGTGGGACTACATCAGGAATCGGCTTTGAGCGCCTTCCTGTTTGTCATGGTGATGGATTCACTGACAGATGAGGTCAGACATGAGTCTCTGTGCGTTATGATGTTACAGACAACATTGTGATCTGTAGTGAGCGTATGGAGCAGGTGGAGGGTTAAAGTCTGGTTCATTTTAGGCCCGTACAAACAGTTTGAAATTTTAGCTCAGTTCAAAAGATAAACGAGAACGATTTTTTTTTTTCAATCTTCTTTCTTATATTAGTTTATTTCTGAACATTTGGCAAGCCCTTCAGATTAAAGTATCTAAGAATTTCAAAGAACTCACACAGAGGTGTCTTCTGGCTTCTGCCGCCTCTGGGCTGCGACCGTGTGCATCGGGGCACAGTGGACGGTTTATCACGACCTTTTTTTGTGCCGTGGTCACAAACCTGTCACGAGCCGACTTAACCCACTCATGCAAAGAGTAGAGTTTGATCACACAATAGCAAAGGCTGCTTAGAAATACACCGTGTACTGCTTTGAACTTTTTTGTTTTGCCATGTTAAAGTACTACTTTGGACATTATTTACATTTATAATTTGTACCCATGCAAAAGCAGTATATACATGTGAGGGACTTAAACTTTGGCGGATTATCCCAACGAAAACAGATTTTTTTTTTCTGTCTGTTTTTGGGGGGAAAAGTCATTGCTCAAGTTGTTCCTGACAGCTTTGATTGAACAGCGATAAGTGACGGCCTCTTCAGGCATCTTTACGTTATCCTAATCCTAAACAGTCCTTTGCAAAAAGAGCCTTTCACCTCAGCAGGCGCCGACAGGAAACGTCAGATAGCCTTAGCTGTGGGAAAATGATGATTGAAATCCACAACAAGCTCCCTTATCCCCCACAGGAGACGTCAGAGGGTGCAGCTAATATGTGTCTGAGCCTACTCTGGTAGCGCCGACACTGCTGCTCCAACACTATCATCCAATGTCAAAGCTGCAGTTCTCCTGTGAGCTTCAGCTAGCAGCGTCACATGACCGACACACCCCCCCCCCCCCCAGGAGGCAGAAGCACTCACACAGCTGCTGCTGACAGTTTATGCTTTGCTGACCTGCTGAGTGCGCCTTTCTCCCATAAACTGTTTATGCTTTCCTCACGTTAATGGATAGTTGACATTTAACCCACAGCTACAACTTACACCATTATGACATGATTTAATCTAATAATATATCAAACTTTCAAACCCTTTCATACTATACTACTGTATGTTTTTAAAATCCCATTACTGCAGTTTTCATAATAATGATGCATAGATTGGGGGG